CTCTTCTCAGACAGTATCAGTTGGAACTTCAACGTTTGAGAAAGTTGCTTGATTCTAGTGATCAATTAAATGTTGGATTGGACTTCCAGAAGGAAATAGAGGAACAGGGAGAAAATTTGAAGGAGAAGCAATACACCGAAGAGGTGATATAACAATTTTATGAATTTTTTATTCGTATTACCCTCAATAATTTATAATTTTAAAAACATATAAACTCTTTCTCTTAATAATTTTAATGAATTAGCTTTTGTAATTATTATTTATTATATTTATTTTTAATATTAATATTATACAAGATGTCTGACAAGTAAGTGACCAAACGAAAGGTAGAGGTAGATTGGGTCAAACTGAGTCTCCTGGTAGTATGCGGCGGCGCACACTTCACGGCGCGCGGCTTACCGACGTGGGCCCGGCTAAAGGTTGGCACTGATTGGCCAGACTTTATTCAATAATAATTCCTTTATTAAGCATTATAAAAAAAAATGGTTCAGGACTTTTCGATTTAGTTTGACTCAATCTACCTCCACCTTTCGTTTGGTCACTTACTTGTCAGACATCTTGTATAATATTAATATTAAAAATAAATATAATAGAAAAGTCCTTTAGCATTTTGCGATTTTCGTAATAATTATTGAGAAATTAATTAAAAAAGATCGACCGAGTATAAACGCGCAGCGAAAAGAGACAACCCAAAAATTGGCGGTTGCTAGACGCGCGACAAAGTGTTGGGAGGAGCGCTCTTCAAATGACAATGGTTACGTATGAGGTACATAGCGCTGGATTCTCGTGTCCTAGCAATCACATATCAATGGGGCCGCGCGCTGATATTCGTGCGAATTGGCCAATCTTTTTTAATTAATGTCTCATTAATTATAGCAAAGATCGCAAAACGGTAGAAGACTTTCCTACTCGGCTTAACCCGCTCTACCTGCGCATTACGGGTGGGGCGATTATTATCAGGTACCCTATATATACAGGGTGTGTCGAAAGTCTGGATACACTCAAATATCTCGTAAACATTGCATTTTAGAGAAAAATATTTCAGACAAAAGTTGTAAGGCTTAAAAAGACACAATCAACGGTAATAGCTGTTTGACCGTGGATGGCGTTGCCAAGGTCAGATCAAGGTCAAATTGAA